CACCATGCAGATAACTCCATCTCAGCTGTCAACCACTGAGAATCCCCACCCAGTCAACGCAAAACCTGCATGCTCAAACACACAGTGATGCAGAATCTGTGTATTCTGACATAATTGCTAATCAAAAATCCTTTGTACAAAGTCCCTATTAAAATTGCATTATCTAGCACATTGCAAAGATTCATTGGAGCACTGACTTACTTACTAATATCATCTTTCCAGTCCAACTTTAAAATTGTTTAGTAAATGTACTTAGCGATCTATTAATGACCTGCTGAGTTGTTTATTCGTGAAGCATGGAACAATGATCAGCAATAAAAAGGAACAATTAATACTTGGCACAACATGGAAGAATGTCAAAGGATAAGTGAAAAAGGTCAAGTCTGGTTCCATTTCTGACATATTCTGAAAGGGTAAAAACTGTAGGGGCAGAAAAAGCGATTCTTAGGTTGTGAATGAAGAGAGGCTGTGACACAAAGGTGCTGCATGGGAGGGTCCTGAGGTGCTGGGGCTGTTTTGTGTTCTGGTGGTGGTGAACACATCTATAGATGTACTAAAACTCATGAAACTGCACCAGGGAGAATCAGTGTTCCTACATGCTAACTTACAAAGTCATTTTTAATGTGTTTAAGTGCCAGGAAAACTCTCATCTGAGGTGACCTCTAAGTCCTGAAGGAGGAGATGAAGCACTGCAAGGGCAAAAGGAGTGAGCTGGATTAGAGGAATATGGAGGAAATGGGGACTAGTCCACTGGGGCGCTTTTCACTCACTGATATATTTGATTAAGGACAGGAAGGAGGTAGGGAGTTGGGCCCATGGTGGCTGTGGAAGAGAGTTCCAGGCAGGGGTACATCAAGCCGTGAGGCAGAAATAGCCCAAGCATGATCATTAAGAGCAGCCAGCTGGCTGAACCTAAGGGAGGTGACAAGAGGGAAAGGGGTCCAATAAAACAGCCTTGGGGACCATGTTGAGGACTTTGGTTTTTATTGAGTGAGGTAGGGTTTGGACAAGGAATGACATGATCCAACCTGTTTAACACTTTCATGACTCGCAGGACAGAGTACCTACCTACATCTCCCTCCTCCTCTGGGGTTTAGGGGTTAGCTGCTTTCTCACTAACGGCACATGTAGCCACCAGGAGGGACTTGTACAACTGAAATGGAAGTAACAGGTGTGTGCCCCAAATCACTCCTTTCAGAGGGTATCAAGAGTAATGATCATTACTGGTGACTGGAATGCAAAGGTTGGAAACAAAGAGGACGGATCAGTAGGTGGGAAATATGGCCTTGATGATAGAAATGATGCTAGAGATTGAATGATAGAATTTTGCAAGACCAGTGAATTCTTCATTGCGAATATATTTTGAAACATAAAAGACAACTATCCACATTGATCTCACCAGATGGAATACACATTAATCAAATTGACTACAACTATGGAAAGAGATGGTGGAAAAGCTCCATATCATCAGCCAGAACAAGGCTGCTATGGAAAAGACCATCAACCGCTCATATGCAAATTCAGGCTGAAGCTGAAGAAAATGTAAACAAGTCCATGAGAGTCAAAATATGACCTTGAATGTATCTCATCTGAATTTACAGATCATCTGAAGAATAGATTTGATGCATTAGACACTAAAGACTGAAGACCAGAAGGGTTGTGGGATGATACAGGAAGAAAGCAAAAGATCACTGATAAGAGAGAAAGAAAAGACCAAAATGATGTCAGAAGAGACTCTGAAACTTGCTCTCCACAGTAAAGATGCTAAAGCAAATGGAAGAAGTGAGGAGATGTAAGAACTGAACAGAAAATTTCAAAGGTCAGCTTGAGAAGACAAAGTCAAACATTATAATAAAATGTGTAAAGACCTGGAATTAGAAAACCAAAAGGGAAGAACACACTCAGCATTTCTCAAGATATGGGAACTGAAGAAAAAATTCAAACCTCGACTTGCAATATTCTCTGGGTAAAATACTGAATGATGAACAAATCATCAAAAGAAGATGGAAGGAATACACAGACTCACTGTACTGAAAGGAAATGGTTGATGTTTAACCATTTAAAGAGATAGCATATGATCAAGAGCCAATGATACTGAAGGAAGAAGTCCAAGGTGCATTCAAGTCATTGGCAAAGAACAAGGCACTGGGAATTGATGGAATAAAAATTGCAATCTTTCAACAAAGTGAAGCGGCACTTGCACTCACACATCTCTGCCAAGAAGATTGGAAGACAACTACTTGACCAACTAATTGAATCCATATTTGTGCCCATTCCAAAGAGAGGTGACCCGATGGAATATGGAAATCATCAAGTATCATTGATATCCCATGCGAGTAAAGTGTTACTAAAGGTAACACAGAAACAACTGCAACCATACATTGACAAGAGAACTTCCAGAGGTTCAAGCCGGATTCAGAAGAGGATGTGGGACAAGGGTGTATCATTGCTGATGTCTGATGGATCTTGGCTGAAAGCAGAGAATACAAGAAAGATGATTACTTGTGTTTTATTGAGTACACAAAGCCTTTCGATTGTGTGGATCATGACAAGCTATGGATAACATTACAAAGTATGAGTATTCCGGAACACTTAATTGTGCTCATGAGGAACCGGTACATAGACCAAGAGGCAGTTGTTTGGACAGAACAAGGGAACACCAAATCATTTAAAATTAGGATAGGTGTCTATCAGGGTTGTATTCTTTCTATATACTGAGCAAATAATCCAAGAAGCTGGATTATATGAAGAGGAACATGGCATCAGAATTGGAGGAAGGCTGATTAACAATCTGTGATATGCAGATGATACAACCTTGCTTGCTGAAAACAGAGGACTTAAAATACTGATGAAGATCAAAGACCACAGCCTTCGGTCTGGGTTGCATCTCAATGTAAAGAAAGCAAAAATCCTCATCCTTGGACCAATAAATAACATCCATATAAATGGAGAAAAGATTGATATTGCCAATGACTTCATTCTTCTTGGATCAACCATCAACGCTCATGGAAGCAGCAGTCAGGAAATCAAACGATGTATTGCATTAGGCAAATGTGCTGCACAGGAACTTTTTAAAGTTTTGCAGAGCAAAGATGTTAGTTTGAGGACTAAGGTGTGCCTGACCCAAGCAATGGTATTTTCAATAACCTCATATGCATGCGAAAGCTGGACAGTGAATAAGGAAGACCATAGAAGAATTTATGTATTTGAGTTAACATGCTGGAGAATATTGAAAATACCATGGACTGCCAAAAGAACAAATAGATCTGTGTTGGAAGAAGCACAGCTAGAGTGTTCCTTGGAGGCCAGACTTCGTCTTTCATACTTTGGACATATTGTCAAGAGGGACCAGTCACTGGAGGACATCACGCTTGGTAAGGTAGAGGGTTGTAGAAAAAGAGGAAGACCCCCAAGGAGATGGATTGGCCCAGTGGCAGCAGTAATGGGCTCAAGTGTAGCAGTGATTGTGAGGTTAGCCCAGGACCGTGCAGTGTTTCGTTCTGTTGTGCATGGGGTCGTTGAGTCGATGCCAACTAGATGGCACCTGACAACAAATAAGGTAAGGATGTGGTGTGTAGGATAGCACCCAACTGTTAACCACAAGTTGGTGGTTCAAACTCACCAACTACTCCTCAGAAACCCTATACAGGGTTGCTGTGAGTTGGAACCGACTTTACACCACTAACAACAATATAAGAGGTACATCCTGTAGGTGTGATTTTATAAAAACTTTTTGCCTCTTTTGGCTTTTTCACTGAGAGTGAAAAAGTTCTGTGCATTTGAAAGTTGTGACGATTTCATGTTTTACCAAATACCCATTTTCAGGTGCCCTATTGTGGGCACCTTGGAGCCCTGGTGTGGTGGTGTTGGAAAAAGCAATGGACTGCAGGGTCAATTTGAACCACATGGTCAGTGGTTCAAATTCACCAGCTGTTCCTCAGAAACTCTATACAGGGTCACTGTGAGTCAGACTTAACTTGATGGTACTGAACAAAAACACTATGTACCTGTGGAGGGATGTAGAACGCAGTTCTGAGTCCAGAGGGTCACGTATGTGTCTCATATAACTTTAGCTCCAGAGTCCAGACTAACAAGTGTGTCCCACATCATTCTACCCCAAGAGTCCAGAGACACTCCAGGGCCTTCAAAAGCTCATGGAAAAAGAGACTTAAAAGACAAATGAAAAATTTCCACAAACTTTAGAAGCCCTCATATATGTGTCCTTATAACACGTACCAAAATCCACATATGATACCCAAATTCATTAGAGTTCCTTTATTCAGAATGCCTTCCGTGAAAGAAAATATGTAGTTATCAATAAAAAATGCAAAGTGGAAAATAACTGGATCATTTAAGGGTTCCACAAGACTCTGCTGTTTTGAGGGGCAGACAGCCTGATGAGGAGGCTGGGTGGAAGGAGCGCTAGGCACCCAAGCTGAAGGAAGTTCTTGTCCTCCAATTCTACAGCTTCACCTTTTGGTTCACTCACTGAGCTCCAAGAGGCTGCTGGGCAAAGGGCCACATTGCCCTCTTCCTGCCCCTCTGGTCCACTGCCCTGCAGTAATGACCACTAATCACACCAGCTCTGCACTGAGCATCGAGTAAGGCACCGTTCAGTGACGGTCCAGGTGAGGAGCCTGAACACACAGGGCCAAGTGCTTGCCCAACGGCGCTCATCAATAATGCTGGTCTCAACCTGGGCTTGCAGAGAGCGCCTTCCCGTGGCCCAGGTGCGGCTGACAGATGAGCAGTGCACCAGAAAAACTAACCTCAGGCAGAGCTCACTCCCCGCTCCCAGTCTGCACAGGATTAACCCTAGTGGATACTTCAGCCCACTCAACAGAAACCGCACAACCACCAGGTCCTGGTGGGTAGAAGCCCAGCCCTTTACTCTGTGGTGGAGGTGGAGACCCAGGGCCAAGAGGGCACACTGGGTCTGGCTTCCTGGATACCCCTGAAGGTGACGAGTGCTGGTGGTAGGTGATGGCCAGTGGGTAGGATCAGGCATTTCTCTGCTCAGGGGGAATGTACTCCAGGCCCAGATGTCTGAAGATGTCCTCCTCTGAAGTCACATGGAAAGACTTTCTCTGTAACAGGGGAAGAGTGACCAGTAAGCAGGTTCTGAGCAGCCTCAACATGGGCTTGGTGTAGGATCCTCCACCGTGGTAGATGTTGAATCACCAGCGTGCTGCCTGGGAAAGGCTGTGGGGTGAGGCCATGGGCGCAGGCAGAGCTAAGGTGCCGCCGTGCCACACCACCAGCACGGTGGGCACTGCTAAGAGGTCTGGAGCAGGAATGTTGAGACCCAGGGTCTGGCCCTGCTGGTGTCAGGTAGACTGTCCTGGAGCCTGGGTTCACACTTTTCCTCCCACAGGCTGGGTTCTCCCACAACATACCTGCCCCGGGTCACAGAGAGCATGACTGTTCAACCACAGCCCCTTCTCCTTCCGACTGAACCAGCGTAGCTCCCGTTCGAAGTGCTGTGGGAACACGAGCCTGCCAACAGCAGCGTCCAACCCCACCCCCCCACCACGCCCACCTCTTCACAGCACCATGCCTTACCCTGGAGCCGGTCCAGCCAAGGAGAGCAAAGGGGAACTGACTGACTGGGGTGACCACCAGGTCTACCCTCACAGCCTTCCAGGCCTTGCAGGGTTTCTGGGGCCACCCCACAGCCACCTCAGGGGGGTGTGACAGGCGGAAAATGCAGAAGCTCCTTTCAAAGCCATCCATGGTGGGGTTGTGCCTCACCAGGTGGGCAGGGTCTTTATAGTGGTTATGTTGGTGGAGGTGGTATAGGATGAGGCCCTGCAGAGAGAGATGGTCAGGCCGGACCCATCTCCCACTGACCACTCCCACACCCTTGGTCCTCACCTGGCTCTTCAGGCAGTCTAGCACTCTGGGTAGCAGCCCCACCTCCTGACCTTCCTGGGGGTGAGTGATGAGCAAGTCCACATCGTGACCCTGCAACTGCCCCCTGAGGAGGACAAGGGTGGCGTGAGGCCCAGCACACTGCCCTCCTTCCATGTGGGGCCCTCCAGCGTACGGCAACCAGTCGGGGAAGGCACATTCAGGCCTCTGCTGTCCAAGGGCCCCCTTACCTCCGGAAGCCACCAGTCAGTGTGACGGTGGCACCGGGTAGGGTTTGCGACACAACCGTCTCCACTGCCCGCTGCACAGCCTGGGCTTCCTGCTGCTGTACCGGAGTGCTGAGGTCCTGGTGGTGCTGAAGCCCTGCATGAGTGGCTCGGTGAGTCCCAGCATGCTTCCCACCACAGTCCCATGTCCTCCCCAAATGCACGCAGTAAGCCCGGGGCTCCACAGAGGAGGGGGCAAAGGCAGGGCCCAGAATGAGACCCTGATAGATGGGGGCATGACGCTACCCCTCCCCTCGTAGATTACACTTGTGCTGAGTTTATTATAGAGGTGCTGCAGTTGTAAAAGCCAACACCGAGGTGCTATGCTGTTGACCTGGTTTCTCCCAGTGCTAACACCACACAGCACTGTGGTGAGCATCACACCAAGACACCAGCGTCACCACAGTCAAGGTACAGACTCGCCCTTTTAATGCCTCAGTTTCCCCATCTGCACAATGGGGCAGGGGTAGTAGGCAAGTAAAGAGGTGTGATTAATAGGGCTCTGATACTTACTAACACGTTCCCTGAACCTGTGTCTCTCAGCCTCTTCGCCTGCCCCCCACACACAGGTGAAGGGGCTTCAATGAGGAGTCACGTCACAATGTCCAACACAGAGCAAGTGCTCAGAAATGCCAACTGAGGGCGGCCCACACTTCACTGCCCACCAGCCAGGCTCTCACGCCCTGCTGACTCAGCCAGGTGGCCTCCCATCTCTGTCAGAGGCTCCACAAATGGCTTTTGAAATAACAAATGTTTGCTCTCCCTAGCTCCAGGGAAGCTGTTCAAAGAGGAAGAGAGCTTGACCATGGAGGCCTCCTCAGCCTGGAAGGGGCCTGGGTAGTTCTTGGAGTACAGCCCCCAATCCAGTATGTTAGAAATCAGAAGCGTTGGGTAGGCCTGTCTCCACAGGGTGGGTACCCAGGACCCTCTTCCTTGGGCTACCCACTCCTCAGCTTGTCTGCTGCTGGTCTCCAGGTCATAATTGGTATTTCCTGTGTGCCAGCGCAGAAGCCTTTGCAGTAAGGAGAGCTTTCCAAATCCAGGTGGGTTTTGGAAAATCCCAGGGCTTACCTTCTCACACGACTCACCTGCTTTCTGTTGCTGGGTCAGTTTCTGAGGTTGCTTGAAGAGGTCATCCAGGGTCCGCAGCCCTTCCTGGAACCACCGGTCAGCAGTCTTTACACCAACTCCAAAGATCTGGGTGAAGGTCTGTGTGGAGGAATTATCCCAGCATCACCGGAAGTCAGATGGCAGCCGGTGGTCTGTCGAGAGCAAGCCGTGGGCTCATCCTGTGGCAGGCATCTCATCGGCACCGCCACACCACAGCATTACGGGAAGCACTGACTCACTCGCATTTTACAGACGGACAAATACAATCTCAGCGAGTTTCAGCAACTTGTGGAAGGTCACAGAATGGAAGGCACAAACTCAGAGAATGTGCTTTCACTGGCACTTACAGGACAACCCTTTCAGTAATGCAGAGAAGTGAATTCACATTTGTTCCCCTGCAGCACCAGGCAGTGTTGGGGTGGGGGGGCTCTGCCTCCCACTTGCTGAAAGTTCTTGGGAGAACCACCTGCTTTTCTGAGATGGTTCTAGCCTGTGACTGTAAATGGCTCTAACATAACCCAACATAAGAGCACAGGCTCTTAGTTTATGGAAGACCCACATCTTTCTGACCCAGCAGGAGCGGCAACCCAATACTCTAGCTCTTCTTGACAAAGATCCCACAAGAAACCTTCAAGGAGTATTTAGTAAAATTGCAGGGTACAGGATCAACAAACAAAAATCAGTTGGATTTCCTTACACCAGCCAGAAAGGAGAAATCTGAAAGGAAAATTAGGTCAACAATTACATTGACAATACCATCTAAGAGAATAAAATACCTAAGGATGAATTTAACCAGTGATGTGAAGGACTTATACAATGAAAATGATAAAACATTTGTCTCATAAAATATTTGTCCTTTTGTAATTAACCAATTTCACTCAACATAACGTTCTCCAGGTTCATCCATGTTGTGAGGTGTTTTGCTGATTCATCGTTAATATTTAACATTGTGTGTATGTACCAAATTTTTTTTTTTTAACTATTCTTCTGTTGATGGGCGTTTAGGCTGTCTCCATCTTTTTGATGTGTCTCTTGTGGACAGCATATCGAAGGATCCTGTTTACTTATCCAGTATGCATAGGTATCAATGGATTGCTGTCATTTCACTGTATGGTTTTTGGTGGTGCTGTTGTAATCTTTGTTCCACAGAATCCTCTGTGCTCACTTTGTGGATTTTCTTCTCTTTTTCATTTCTACTGTGTTAATGTTTACTAAATCATTCTGATTTTCCTCTCTTATTTTGATGTATTAATTGTTGTTCAGATTACCCTGATTCATTAATTGATTTACCATGTATAAAAGTCTGTTTTATCTTGGATTCTACTTGACTTCTTCACCATTTGGAAGTTCTGTGTTTACACTATTCTCTCTTTTTGCTTTGTAGTTGATTTCATTATAAACGATATCTCTAGTACCCTATTTTCAGTCTTGTAGGTTTGTTTTACTTCAAATACTTTTATATCTGGGTTGAGTTCTGGGTGGTGTTATGTATGTTAATCTCAGGTTGTTGTCTGTTGTTTTTGGTTCTCAGTCCAAAACACACCCAATAGTATATTTTGTAAAGCGGTTATTACAAATTCCTTTAATTTATCTGGAATGTCTTAATTTCTCCATCATATTTGATGTCAGCTTTTCTGGCATGAGATCCCTGTTAGGCAATCCTTTTTTTCAGTTTTTTGCATATTTCATCTCATTGCCTTCTTGCCTGCAAAGTTTCTTTCTGCGGAGTAATCAGAGCTGAGTCTTACTGGTTCTCCTCTGGAGATAACTTTTCATTTTTTTCTTGAGCTGCTCTCAGGATTCTTTCCTTGCCTTTGGATTTAAAAAGTTTGATTATGACATGTCTTGGTGATTTTCTTTTGGGCTTTGTTCAGCTTCTTAAATTCTTCTCATATTTCATGACGTTAGGGAAGTTTTTTTTCCAACAACTACTGGACAATATCCTCTGTGCTTTTTCTTTCCTCTTCCTGTCCTGGAATTCCAGTCGCCCTAAGTTATTCCTCTTCATGCTGTCCCACATACCTTTAAGGATTTCTTCGGATTTTCTCATTCTTTTTTCTGGTTGTTCTAACATACTAGTATTCAGAGACTTATCTCTAAGCTCAGTCAGTCATTTGGGCTTCCACTGCTTTGAATCCGATCTTTTGCCCTTTGGATGTATTGTCCATTTCTGAAATCTTAGTATTAATCTTCAGGGTTTCTATTTGCAGTTTTTGTATTGCTTCAAAATTTGTATTTTCTGTCATTGTTCTTGTAATGTTTTCCTCAATTCGTCTTAAGCTTTCTCTGTGCGCTCCTCGCTTTCCTTGATAATTCTGTTGATCTTATGAGGTACATAAAACACCATTCTTGTGAATTCTTTTTCAGTTAGTTGCCTTTTCTTCCTCAGAACCATTTCTTGGCTCTGCCTCTTGGTCACTGGTTTGAGCTATTTTCTCACCTCTTTGTGTGAACTGAAATTGTCTGTTGTCATCAGGACATTGTGGCATTGTCTTATTTGTATTTAACTGATCATATATTGCTGTGCTCTTAAGATCTCAGTAACTGTCTCCTGTGGGTATACTCAGAGGATGGAGGCATGTGTGCACTGCTCTCTGTCTGCTGTTTGGGTTTGGATGGTGCTGGTTGGTGTCTATTATTGATCAGTTGGTATAGGGGCTGGCATTGGCTCTTGCCCAGTGGGTGGGTCTGCAGACAGTATGGTTGTGGCTGGGCTGTATGGGCACAGTTGCTGTCTCCTTTCTCCTCACCTATGTGAATCTGCTCTGCCAGGCCACCCTCTGTCACCAAGGTCTCTCATCAAGGTACAAGATGGCTACACCGCATCTGGCCGGCTGGTCACCAGTCAGTCTCCCTCTTTTGCCATCCCTGCTTAGCCTCTCCTCCCAGGAAGCTCAGTCCAGTTCTCTAGTCCTCTGAGGTTCAGGGTTCAGGATTTTCATCTGTGCCTGTTTCATTTGGTCTTTTGTATCTTTGGGTCCACGTAGTGTGTCTGTCTAGTCCGCCGTCTTGCTGGAAGTTCTCCCATGAACTTTTTGAAGCACACTTGTATATCCAGAAGTGTAAGCAGGAACCCCAACATAAGACTGCCCACCAATATTCACTGCAACATTTTTCACAATAGCCAAGAGGTGAAAACAACCAAAATATCCATCAACGATGGGTGAACCTTCGAAACCCTGGGCGCAGGGTAGTCGTTTGCCTCTCCTTATCCCTAGTCTGTCTTAGTCTGCGGAAGCTCCATAGAAACCTGTCCACCATGGGTGATCCTGTTGGTGCTGGAAACACTGGTTAGCATCGCCTCCAGAACCTCAGTCCACCACACAACCACACAAACTGACAGACAAGTGGTAGTGGTACAGCATGACTAACAGCCCCCATTTTAACCAGGTATCCCCTAAGTCCTTTCAGTCCCCCCACCTCACCCTATGGACAAATAATAAACTTCTTACAGAAAAACTGTGAAGGTCAGAATGACCCAAGGACACCTGAACAAATAGGATAAAAAACTTAGCCCATCTATACAAATAAGATAAGGGTTTATTGGTGGGTTTACTCCCACTTACAGGATAAGGGTCTGCTGGAATCTTCCACCCCAGGTAACAAGACAAGTCTGTTTGTTTTAACCACTCTGTGTTTTTGTATGAAACCCTGTTCCCCTCTCCTCACTTCAGGGTCAGAGTGATTTGGGCTTGAGCTGACACTCTGGCTGCCAGCAATAAACTTGGCTCTTTAAGATTTCGAGTTGAGTTCTTTGTGACTCACGCTGCCTCAACAGTGGGACCCTACACATAAAAGATCCTGAAGAGTCAGCAAGATACCTGCTGGAGCCAGTAGAAGAATTCAGCAAAGTTTCAGAGTACAAGATTAACACACAAAACTTAGGTGGGCTTATCTACGCTACGGAAGACTACTTTCTAAGAGAAGTCCAGAAAGCAATTCCATTTCCATTTACAATAGCCCCAAGTTGATAAAAGATCTAGGAATTAATGTAACTAAGGATAGAAAGCTTACACAATGAAAACTCTCAAATGCTACAATAAGAGACTAAAGGAGACTTATACAGTAATTGAAAGGCACCCCATAGACATGGACTGGAAAATTTACAGTGAAAATGTCAGTTCAACCTCAAGTGATCTACAGACACAGTGTGATCCCAATACAAACCTCAACAATATTCTATACTGAAATGGAGAAAGGCGTCACTAACTTTGTATGGAAAGAAACCCCAGTTGTCAAAGTAATTCTGGAGAAAAGGAACAAAGCAGAAGGCTCACACTAGCCACTGTAATCAAAGTAGTCTGTATTGGTTCCACATAGACATGTCCACCAGAGAAACAGAATGGAGAACTCAGAACTAGAGCCAGCCATCTCATAGCGTCAACTGATTTTGGCAAAGGGTCAAGGTCCATACCTTGGAGCTGAAAACAGTCTCTTTAATAAACAATGCTGGCAAAACTGGATATCCACCTGAAGAAAAACGAACTAAAGTCATTAACTCAACACCAAAAAACAAACTCAAAATGGACCAAAGATCTACATGTTAAACCTAAAACCATAAAATTCCTGGAAGAATACGATGAGATTTAGTCTTGTAGGAAAATAGACTACCAAACACAACAAAAAAGGCATGAATAGAAGACATACAAATTTAAAATTTATGCTCATCAAAGACTTTATTAAAAGAGTAAACAACCTACAGATTAAGAAAATATGTTTGGGAATGACTTTTCCACTAAGGGTCTAAACTCTAAAATCCCACAAAAACCCACAACAACAAAAAAACAACCCACTCACAAAATGGGGAAAAGACATGGACAAAACCTTCACTGAAGAGGACATCCCAGCAGCCAACAAACATGGAAAGATATTTATGATCATTAGCCACTGTTGTTTGTTTGTTGTTCAGTGCCGTCAAGTCGGTTCTGACTCACAGTGACCCTGTGTAGGATTTCTGAGGAGCGGTTGGTGGGTTTGATCCACTGACCTTGTGGTTCAAACCAATCTTGCAGCCCAGTGTTTATCCTACAGTGCCACACCAGAGAGATGCAAATCAAAACTACAAGGAGATATTGTAAGGTAGTTAGAACTGGGAAAGGAGGGGGAGGGTCCCAAGTCACTGTAGATCTGCCTGTCTCAGCAGTAAGGGAGTTCTGAAAAGAGGGGTGGAGAAAGAGGAGACTGCTCCAAAAGGAAATCAAGTTCGTTCATAAGCTGAAACCTGCAAACAACACGACTCAAGGAAACAGTATACGGCTCAATTCCCTGGCCTGGCTCCTTGGGCACACAAGCCAGGAGCAGAGCCCACTCCCCTGACAAAGGTATATATAAAGAAGAAGTCAAATTGTATTCGGGGCCCCACCTCCTCTTCTTTCGCAGATCGAGTGTCCACCTTTACCTCTCTGTGAGCTCATCTACGCAAAGCAACCCATCTTTCATTTCCCTAAGCCTCTTGTTCTTTCACCTGGGGTAAGTGTGTTGTCATTAAGTGTTGTCGACTCGGTTCCGACTCACAGAGACCCTGTATAGGGTTTCCGAGGACCAACTGGTGGGCTTGAACTGCCAACCTTGCAGCTCAAATTGACCTTGCAGTCCAGTGCATTACTCTGTAGCCTTTCCAGTTCTTTGGAAGGACAGTGACACCGTTCCAGGGACTACAGAGCTACTGTGACAATACCATCTTACCTCAGCTAAAAGGCACTGATAGGAAAAAACAAAAAACAAATATTGGTGATGGGGTGGGGAGATTATTCATCGCATGTGGGACTGTAAATCATACAATCACTACGGGAACTAATATAGCACTTTCTCAAAGGACTGTTCATCAAATCTCCCTATAATCCAGCAATCCCATTCCTAGGTATGTCCCCTAGACACCTCAGAATACTGACACAAACAGACCTTTTTGTTCAGGGCTGCTTTACCTGCAATAGCAAACGGAAACAATCCAAGTGCCCACCCGTGGATGCCGGGCTAACCGTGGTACATATACACAGTGCAATACAACACAACCATAAAGAACAGTGCTGAATCCAAGAACTGCCAACGGGCCTGGAGGGCATGCGGCTGAGTGAAGCTGGCCGAGCACGTGAGGACAAGTGGTGCGTGACTCTTCTTTCATGTATCAAGCATGGACACAGACAGAGACCCACACTCACTGGAGGTTACCAGGGGAAGCACGGGGCTAGGGAGCAGTACACCGCACAGCCCTGAGGCTTAGTATTACTGGTGGTGTTGCGCACCATCAAGCCGGTTCTGACTCCTGGCAACTCTGGATAGGTAGGTTTGAACTGCTGACCTTGATGTTAGTGTGGTTAGCAGTCCAGTGCTTATCCGACACTGGGGCTCCGATATTATTGTCAATGATGGGAAAGGGGCATGCAATGTGGCTGCAGTGAGCACACAGTATAGCCAAATAAAAGGTAGGCTCAAGTGTGTCAGCGGCTAGGCAAATACAGGTGTGCACACAGGTGAGAACAGGTACTTATACAAATGCCAAAAAGCAAACTCAGTGCCATGGGCAATTCCAACTCACAGTGGCCTTATAGGATCTAGTACGGCTGCCCCGTAGGGTTTCCTCATGGCATATAACAACAACAACAACAACAGTCTTCAGGAAGTAGAGAGCCACATCTTTCTCCCACAAAGCAGAGGGGGTATTCAAACTGCCAATCTTTCAGTATGCAGCCAAGCACTTAACCATGGCACCACCAGGGCTCCTAAAAGTAGCTTTAATCCATTGTTACTGTGTTGACTGCAACTCACAGTAAAGCATCTGTGTGTGGGTGGTGTTGATAAACGCTGTCGAGTTGGTTGTGCCTCACAGTGACCACGTACAGGGTTTCCAAGGTATGGCTGGTGAGTTTGAACTCACCAGTTTTACAGTTAACTATCCAGTGTGCATCCTCCAGTGTCAGACCAGGATTCCAAAGAAATCAGTGGTAGTGGCAGTGGTGGTGGTGTGCCGTTGAGCCGGTTCTAACTCATCGTGACCCTGTATACGGTTTCTTAGGTTGCAAATCTTTATGGAAACAGAAAGTCTCATCTACCTACGGAGCAATTGGTAGGTTTTAATTGTTGACCTAGGGATTAGCAAGCCAACGCATAACCTGCTACACTAGCAAAGCTCCTTAAAGCATCTATATGTATCTACGTTGTTGTTGTTAAGTGCTGTTGAGTTGGTTTTGACTCATAGTGACCCTGAATAGAAGGGGTGGGAAAGTTCTGGCCTGTGGGTCATATTGTTGTTGTTGTTGTTGTTAAGTGTCGTCAAGTCAATTCCGACTCATAGTGACCCTTTATAGGGTTTCCAAGGAACAGGCCCACAAAGGCATTTGGCCTGGCCCTGTCAAGGCAACTGCAGTTCCAGCCATCACATTGATGGTGGTGGTGATGTGCCATGGAGTCGGTTCTGATTCACAGTGACCCCGTACAGGGTTTCCAAGGCAGTAAATCTTTACAGGAGCAGAAAGCCTCACCTTTTTCCTGCGGAACGGCTGGTAATTTCAAACTGCTGACCTAGCAGTCTAACCAGAGCTCCTTAGCCACCACATTTGTTGTTGTTGTTAAGTGCCGTTGAGTTGGTTCTGACCCATAGTGACCTGGTACAGGGTTTCCGAAGAGCAGCTGGTGGATTTGAAATGCACATGATCCTGCAGCACCACACCATGTAATTTGTTGTCATTGTTTTGTTGTTAAGTCCTGTTGAGTCGGTTCCGACTCTTAGTGACCCTGTACAAGGTTTAAGAGAAGCACTGCTGACCTCAAGGTTCAAACTGACCTTGTGGGCCAATGCTTACAGCAGAACAAGGGGACACTGAATGTTTTTAAATCAGGAAAGGTTTGTGCCAGGGTTGTATTCTTTCACCACACTTATTCAATCTGTCTGCTGAGCAAATCATATGAAGAAAAATGTGGCATCAGGATAGGAGGAAGGCTCATTAACCTGCGATATATAGATGATACAACTTTGCTTGCTGAAAGTGAAAAGAACGTAAAATACTTGCTGATGAAGATCAAAGACCACAACCTTCGATTACACCTCAATGTAAAAACAAAAATCCTCACAACTGGACCAATAAATCACATCATGATAAATGGAGAAAAGATTGAAGTTGTCAAAGACTTCAACAGTCATGGGAGCAGCAGTCAAGGAATCAACTGAAGTATAATACTAGGCAAATCTGCTGCACAAGACCTCTCTAAAGTGTTCAAGAGCAAAGATAGCATTTGAGGACTCAAGTGTGCCTGACCCAAGCCATGGTATTTTCAATAATCTTATATCCAGCTACACTTAAAAGGAGCCATCTCAGAAGCAGGAACAGAGGATCCCAGGACCCTCCAGAAGGAAAAGCATGAGTGGAGCATGAGAAACAGTGGTGGCCGGGACAGACAGCGGCTCCGGCCTCTAGGCTTATGGACAGAGTAAAGCTGAGTCTCTACGGGCAGGAGACTGGCTTGAACTGCCCTTTGGACATTCGAGGACTAGCAAAAAGGACTTTATAACACTTGCTGGTACAGGGCACAGACCAAGGGACCACACGGCTGAGAGATTGAAGACAAGAGTGAGGTGTGCCTGCAGTCTGGCAGACAAGAGGCAATCCTGACTGCAGAACTGCTGCGTCCTGAGGTGATTTGGATCCTGAATTGTACCCTGCTCACCTCCCTAAGAAACCCCATAATCCTGAATATCGTTATGAGTTCTATGTGACCACTGCAGTGGAGTATAGAACCCAGAGGTGAAGCAGGGACTGTGTGGGAGGGGTGGTTGGTGTCAGAACAGGGTAAAGAAGGCTGTAGGGTGGGCGCGTGTCTGACCCCTGCACTTCACAGGAATCAGGCTAGGGCTGATTTTGAGTTGGACTCTCTTTCTCCTTTGTGAAGCCAGGGGAAGTCAGACACGGTCCCCACACGGTTTCTACTCTGACAGACACGGTTCCTGAGGACGCCCAACAGCCTACCACACAGAGCCTCATTCTCAAGGAAAGAAAGCTGTCAGCCCCTCAGGGGCTGCTTGCTAGTGTCAGGCCCCTGGAGGGATCCCATGGGCCCAGGAGCACCCTCACACACCTTCATGGTCTGGTACCTCTCGGAGCACCGCACCCTCTCCACCTCTTCACACAGGCCATGCTCCAGCATCTCCTAAGGAAGGATACACAGCATCAAAGTCTACACCCGGATAGAGGATGGAGGCCTGACTGGAAGGGAAGAGGATGGCAGGGTGGGGCCAGGACTCTGTACAGGGGGTGTTTGTGATCTCTGAATCAGATGGGCCCTGGAAAAGGGGTCCGTGCCAGGGAAGGTGAGCAAAGCTGAGGCCGCCCAGCTGGCGGGGCAGAGCTCCAGCCTCAGGATCCCTGTAGCCTAGAGTTATATGGTCGAGCCCAGGCCAGAGGAATCACCTGTCATATGAATAAAAAGTCCCACAGTACACAATAATTTGTCAAATGTATGTGATGAACCCCAGAAACAACTTCAATGAAAAATGCGATTTTTAAATGATCTTTTGTCACCACATGTCTTTGCAATTCAAGTGTATGGGAGAATAACAAAATGTTGAGTCCTCAAATGCTTTGTAGTTTAAACAGTGGTGCCTCTACTAGGCTGCTGTCTCTCCACGCTTGGGGACAGGCAGTGACGATCCCTGAAAATAGAGGGCAAGCCCAGTCTATGGTAGGGGAGGAGCCTGAGCTCAGTGTGGCCTTTTGGCTCTTGGAGCTCCCATTTGTCCCCTGTCTATTTGGTGCCACAGCTGGGCTCTGCACCACCAAGTCACCCTCCCTCTCTGCCAAGCTCCAAGGCTTCCAGGTAGAGAGGCCCGGCCCTTCACCCCCACCCCACATATCTATACCAGCCCGCTCCCGGCTGCGGCCCACTTAGCGTGGACAGCACTGACCTGAACAACCCTGGACGAGTGTTCTCCAAAGTGGGGGAGCACTTGCAGCTGGGCCATGGCTGTGATGGGGCTGGGCAGGGCCTTGAGCACAGAGGCGGCCCTGCAGAACGAGCGGAGCCGGCCCTCGCTGCCTTCAAAGCCTGCAGCCTCTGCCAGCGTCTCCAGAGCCTCCTGCAGCAATGGCCCTTTGATTAGGGGCAGGGCAGGCAGACTGCCTCAACCCCCAGCTTCCGAGTCACCACCCATCTGTACCCACCCCCTGGGCCCAGGGCCCAGGGGGCCTGGGGGCCCACGGCTCACTGAGAGGCTGGTGTTGTGGTGGGTGGGAGGTGTCAGACGCTGGCAAGCATAGGTTGGCACCACTAGGCTGGGAGTCTTCTTCCTGGGCTTGGTCACCTAGGGATGGACACTGCATGAGTCACCACAAGGTCACAGACCCAGCAGGACCAAGTTGGATGCAGGGCGTGACAGATCACATTCTGACACAGATAATGTGCACCTCGTACGTTTTATTTTTTGAAACCACATAACCTCCTCCTACATCAGTTTCCTATGTGTGCTTTGTCCGTTACATGTGTAAGCACGTTATTTATGAGTGTGCTTTATATGCAAACATGCATTCATGTTGGTCAGGGGATCAGGAAGCACCTGGGACCCTTGCCTCTCCTGGATGGTCACCCTCAGCCCCTTGGGAGCACAGACTCAGAGAGGGCGGCAAACAATCTGAGGCCTGGGGCAGAAGGAGGCGCAGACTGCAGTTCAAGCCAGCGTATCAGAAGCCATGGTGATAGTTCTGACATTCATCAAGCGCTCTTCCTGCTGTTACAGGAAGTGCTGTGTGTGCTGACCTCTCCGAGCAGGGGACTCAGATGGGGACACTGAGGCCTTAGAGGTTAGGGGACATACTCAACACCTCAGAGCTCACAAGCAGAGCCAGGTTTGAATGTAGGCAGCCTGGTTCCTGAGCTTACACCTGCAGTTCCAGCTCTGTGGCATCCAGGAGCACAGGTGGGGTTAGGGCTAGGACTCCCAAAGCACCCTGGGATGGGCTCACTGGAGCAAGTCTCAACCACTTGGTGAGGAAGATTAGCCTGAAGATGCCAAAAGCAAGCAGGACTCCAACAGAACTGAGAATGAACACTGGATGGCCTGACCTTTGGGGCAGGGTGGCCACTCAATCCCAGCCCCATTTTGGCCCTACAGCTGGCTGGCTTCGGAAGGCCACCCAGCGATCTTACTGTCCTGCTTGTCTAAAGGAGACTGGGCTACTGCGGGGCTCCTGCTACACTCCTGGTCCCAATTCAGCTAGGGCCTGGATTCTCTGACCCTGCTCACCTCCAGGTGGTGCCGGTTCTCCACAGGCACGGGCTGCCCAGCAGCCAGGCTCTCTGTGAGCCAGCTCATGTTCAGCAGAGTTGAGAAAGTATCCCCTGAGGGAGAAGTCACCATCTTCTGCTCCTGCCAGCAGAGAGCCTCCGCTGCTGAAGTCTGCTCCACAACCACATGGGTCACCGCAGAACTGGTTCAGAGGAAGAAGGAGAATCGTCAGGGCCAGAGTCCCTTCCCAGGCCCTGCCATCCTGCCTACTTTACTCTGCACCTCCGAGTCTCTGCTTTTAGCAGGCAGACACACACCTCCACTGCTCCAGCACCTTCAGAATGGTGGTGTCTACTCTGGCTGTGCTCACAACGCCAGCCTGACTCTGTGAGCACATGTGTCTCCCTCCACCCCAGAGAGGGCTCCCTGAGGGCCTGGTCTTCATCTACGTGCTGGAGACAGAAGCACAAATCCTCCAGCCAGACTACTGCAGTCCCTCACTCTTTGGTAAGGCACACCCTTGGGGATACTTCAGGGTAGGTTCTAGATCACCGCAGTAAAGCAGGTACTGTACTAAAGGGAATCACACAAACTTCTTGGTTTCCCAGTGCAGGTAAGTCAGATTTATACTATATTGTCGTCTGTTAAATATGCAATGCTGTTGTTGTTAAGTGCCATTGAGTCAGTTCTGACTCATAGCCACCCTGTCTAGGGTTTCTGAGGAGAGGCTGGTGGGTTTGAAGCACCAACCTTGAGGTTCCAACTAATCTTGTGGTCGAATACAACTATCCTGCAGTGTTACACAAACGTTACAAATGTGGCAAGAATTACCAAAATGGGGCACCGAAACACAAAGTAAGCACATGATGTTGGAAAAATGGCGCCAACGGGTTTGCTTGACACAGGCATGGCATAAACTTTCGGGTAATAAAAAAAGGTATCTGCAAAGCACAAGAAAGTGAAACACAAGAAAACAAGGTATTTGTTAAGTGCTAATGAGTCAGTTTCAACTCATAGGGTTTCCAAAGAGTAACTGATGGGTTTTAACTGCTGACATTGTGGTTAGCAGTTCAGTGCTAATCCTACAGCGCCACACCAGCAGTCGTATGCCTGCACTTAAATTTTCTCTTTGGTAAAATCTGCCTTGTCAGGTTGTTGTAAAAGTTTAAATTAAGAAGTAAAAGGGCTTCCACAGTCCCTGAGACGTAGTAAATTGCTATGTAGGATTAACCTGTATCCCAGGTTCCTTCAGAGAGATAGATGATGCAGAGGGACCAAGCTCTGGCTGTCAGCCCTTCCACCTTCAAACCTATGGAAAGCCCTAGGTGTGTTGGTTTCTACATTTCCTCCCCTCTGGTTGCAACTTTTGAGTTCTCAAATCCCTGTCTCAAGCCTGCCCAGAGCTTCGGGAGACTGAGTCTGGATCACAGAGCAAGGTGGGTTTCACCCAAGGCAGAAGGGGCTGCTAGTGAAAATAACATTGTTGTTGTTAAGTGCTGTCTAGTCAGTTCCGACTCATAGCCACCGTGTATTGGGTTTCTAAGGAACAGCTGGTGGGTCTGAACTGCCAACCTTGTGGTCCGCGTCGGTTCTGGTTCTGACTCAGCGACCCTGTACAGGGTTTCTGAGGAGCAGCTTATGGGTTTGAACTGATGACCCTGGGGTCCGCAGGCCTGTGCGCCACACTGGGTCCCTAGCAAATACTACTGTTGAAAATGACTCCTCATACCCACATGACCCTTCTCAAAATCGTGGACATGTGCTGTCTCGTTTGATTTTGAACATGACCTTGCAGACCGCGTAAGCGATCTTTCCTTCTACAGACGAGAGCACTGAGGGGCAGGAGTCCAAGCCCTGCAGGGGCCGCTCTTGCGCCACCAGCTGCGAGCAAACAGCGCAGCTCCGGGCTTCGGAGCAGCCCTGGCAGCAGAGAGGCGTCCGTGCGCGGCTCTGTGCTCCGCGGCCCCTTGCCGCACCTCGGCTGCACGCGGTGCTCTCCGGCCAGCCGGACCTGCCCAGACCCAGCGTGCTGCCCCGGCCACTCTCGCTCCGCGCACCTGCTCACGTCCAGGACGCAGAAGCCTTTAGAGCGTGCCAGGCGAGTCAGGAAGGAGCGGCGGCTGCGACCCATGCCCTGCTCCACCAGGTAGATGGCGACGCCGGGGAAGCGCCCCGAGAGAGAAGCGGAGGAAGCGGCGGCGCCGGCTGGACTTCCGGCCTGCGTTCGCCGGCGCTTCGGGATCACCGGAGCCATAGTGGTGGCTGGACCGCGGCGCTGAGACAAGAAGGCAAACGGGCGGAAGCCGACTTCACAAAAGACTAGACGGCGCTGAGGAACTCAGCCGGCTTTTATGCAAATAACTGGGGGGCACGCCTTTTATTCAAATGTGTCTCGGAAAGTCCCTCCCCGTCCACGCTGACTGACGTAAACAAGGAGGAGACTACGGAAACCGGTGGGGCGCAGGGAGGACGGGAGCGGAAGTGGGCAGCGGCTGAAGGGAGGGGCGGCGTGGAGCGGGAAGGAAGCTCCGCCCCGGGGGTCGGCGGAGTGGGCGGGGTCGGCGGAGTGGGCGGGGTCGGCGGATTCGGTGCGACCCCCCAGCCTCCACCCCCGGACCCCGTGACGGCTAGGGGACGCTTGGGCAGGTAGACCCCCGCAGTGGGGAGACTGGCAGATCCTGATGAGACCTGAACCCTAGAACCTATAGGGCTGCCCCCTCAGAACCCTGACAGACTTTCAGTAATAGGGCGTTGGGACCGCAGCCAGCCATCTGGAATGAGAGATTCTGGCTTCCTCCCTCCTTCTTCAATGCCAAAATAAATTCCAGATGGATCAGATACTGAGATCTAAAAAAGAAATTAAAAATGTGCTGGAGGAAAAAGTTGAGGAATTTTTTTTATAGTCCAAGTATGGCAATAAACTTGGAAACGCTAAAGAATAATGAACTCGCCTACATACAAGTTTAAAATATTTACATTTCAGACCACAACCTGAGATTACCATACGTGACAACACCACCCAGAACCGAACCAGATAATAGAAGGATTTATAGCACCGTAGGATAAGCACTCGACCTCAAGATCCGTTTGAACTGCAAAGTCGACGGTTCAAACTCACTAGCAGCTACTTAGAAACTATGTAGGGCCTCTATGAGTCGGAACCTACTCGAAGGCCCGAACAACAAAGTAAAACAAACCCTCAAG